ACTGATCACATCTGCATAGTGATTTTTCCCAGCTCTTCCATGTCTCATCAACACTCCCAAATACCTACCAAGATTGTTCACCTTCTTAAAACCACTAGCTTTGGAGATAAGTTCCACATCGTCCAGGTGAGTATTTTTAGAGAAATAAATACAAGTTTTCTCAATGCTCACACATTGCCCTGACATGCTGGAAAACATCTTCAAGCAAGCTAAAATGCTATTAAGTTGACTGAGGGAAGCTTCAGCAAAAAGCAAGACATCATCAGCAAATAAGAGGTGAGAAACATACGGACCTTTTTTACCAGCCTTAATGGGTTTCCAGTTCTTCCTTTCCACTTCATCCTGGATTAGATGAGTGAGCTTTTCCATACAAAAAACAAACAGGTAAGGGGATAGAGGATCCCCTTGCCTAATTCCCCTTTGAGGCTTAAAACCCTCAGTTCTAGAGCCATTCCAGAGAATCTCAAGATGTGAGCTAGTAACACATCCCATGATAGCTCTAATCAGGTCTTCAGGAAACTTCAAATCTTCAAGTGTAGCTTTAATAAACCTCCAGTTGAGCTTGTCATAAGCTTTCTCTAAATCTATTTTAATAGAAAAGTAGCTTTTCCTCCCTTTCATCCTGTGCATGGCATGAACAAGCTCTTGAGCTATAATGATGTTGTCTTGAATGTGCCTCTTAGGGACAAAACTAGTCTGATTTGGGGATATGACACTACTCAGGAAGGGCCTGATTTTGTTCACCAGAATCTTACTTAGCCCCTTATAGACAGAATTACACAAAGCAATTGGCCGGAGCTGCCTCATCAATGAAGGCCTATCAACTTTAGGAATAAGAACAATAAGAGTATTATTGATATCCCTAATCTGGTCAGGATGCAGAAGATATCTCTGGATGCAACTGATTACCTGATCCTTAATAACTTCCCAATTTCTTTGATAGAACATAGCTGGGAGCCCATCTGGACCAGGAGCTTTTAAGGGGGGCATTTGAAAAAAAGCATTTTTAACCTCATCAGCAGATATACTAATGGACAGCTGGGCCTGCTTATCTACACTCTCATTCGGCCAGCTGCTACCAGTATTTATCCAGATAGGTTCCTCCAAGTTCTCCTTGAACAGATTCAGAAAAAAACCCCTAGCAAGGGCTATAAGCTCCTCTTCACCAGTCACCCACCCACCTTTGTCATCTTGGAGCTTTAATATCTTATTTCTGCTCCTGCGAATGAGAGTATTGGTGTGATAAAAACGGGTGTTTCTGTCACCATCTCTGATCCATTCTCCTCTAGATTTTTGGTACCAAATCTGCTCCTCTTGATCTAGGATCTCTTCAAGTTCCTTCCTCAGCTTATTTTCCAATTCTTCAAGCTGGGAGCTGTTCTTATAATTGAGTTGCCTTTGAATACCTTCCATTCGGGCAATAACTCTAGTTTTCCTAACCTGAGTGAACCCAAAGATATCCCTGTTCCACTCCTTTAGCAAAGGGATGAAGGACTTCAACCTGTCTAGCAAGCTGGTCTTGTGATTCCAGTTTTCCTTAAGAAAAGAACTGAATCTAGGGTCATTCTGCCAGATGGCCATAAACCTAAAAGGTCTATCACACCAATTGGAGTCCTCTTTATCCATCCTAACCAGAATAGGATTATGATCTGAAAACAGCCTAGGTAGCACAAGAACCTCAGCTTCTTCAAAACAAGCTCTCCATTCATCATTGGAGACAACTCTATCTAGCCTCTTGTAAATTCTGTCCAGGTGAAGAAATTTGGGGCCCTTCCAAGTGAACCTGTTACCCCCACCCCCTAGGTCCAGCATACCACAGGCATCCAGCACCTCATTAAACTTTTTACATCTATTGAAATCAACTGGTCCCCCCCTCTTTTCAGCAGGAGAGGCAATTTCATTGAAGTCACCAGATATCAACCAGGGGTCATTCATAGTTCTTCCCAAGTGCTTCAGATCCTCCCATAACACCATCCTCTTCCCTTCCTGAGGGCTAGCATACACAGCCGTCCAGAAGAATCCTTTCTTACCAGGAGAATCTACCCAAACATGAATAAACTGATCATTGGAAACATGGAGAGTTATCTTTACCTCAGAAGGATTCCACATTAGCCAAATCCCACCAGCAAAACCTTTAGCATCAGCAACTATATGGTTAGAGAAACCCAAACTACTAATAATTTTGATGGCTTTCTTACCACTAACTCTAGGCTCTAAAATTGCAGCCACACCAACCTTATATTTCCTACAAAACCTGATAAAAGTGCTTTTAAATTGCTTCTTAGCAGCACCTCTACAGTTCCATGTTAAGACATTCATTATACAGATTGGGGATGGTGCAAGGTTCCAGAGTCCTTGCTACTCAAACAAAGAGGATCCTCAAGAAATTCCTGACTTAAGTTCACATCACCCTCACAGCCAGAACTAGCAGTAAACATGACAGTCCTAGAATCAAAACTTAAAGAGGGTTCCAATCCCATACCTGACAAGGATTCCACAACTTTTGCTTCTTCCCCCATAACAAGATCAGGGGGGTCCGGTTCCTTCATTAAATCATCAGTCAATAAACTGCCATCGCACTGGGAACTGCTAGGAGCTGGACTATTAGCTTCAGCATTGAGGACATCTTCTGCCATCATCAGAGCACTCCACCTATTGCTCTCCTGCTTGCCAAAAGCAGACTGAGAAGGAATCTTCACAGGGTTGTGAACAGAGTTACTGCCAGGAGCAAACTTGGCCTGATAGCTGGCCGCAACTCCCTTCCCCTTCCCACCGTGGGTTTTGCCAGAACTTTTCTTCACAAAACGAGCTGCAGCTTTAGTTCCTGAATTACTCTCAACAGCAATGGAAGCTGCTGCTGTGAACTCCAACTCCACCAAAGGTTGCTGACTAATTTTCACACCTGATATATTTTCCTTGTTCACCTTTGAGCAAGATGAACTAGTCACTGAATTCTTCTCCACGCCATTCGTCTGTAACACTTTCTCACCTTTCTCTCCTGGTGTAGGTCCACCCAGGTTCTTCCTATTAGATAAATCCTCTCCAAACTTCCTATTGCTACCATTATCCATTTTCTGGATATTTTGAGAGCCCCTCCTCCTACGCTGCACAACCATCCACGGCCCTAAACCCTGAGGAGCAGGGGTATCCCTTGGCTGGTCTTGAGTCTCTTCAGCCTTAGAGGGAGATCTGGGCCTAGCACATTCAGAACATGAATCCGAGTTATGCCCATACTTCCCGCATTTGAGACAGATAAGAAACAGCCCCTCATACTCAACTTTCTTCCTTCTCCCATCAACAATGTATTCACCTCTTAAGGGTGCTGACAAATTCAACTCGATACAGACTCGAGCAAATCTAGCTCTATCCCCAGTTGAAGTGGTTTTATCCACCTTCAAGACTTTTCCAATAACAGCACCCAATTGATTCAAGAATGGAAACTCGCAGTACTCCTGGGGAACACCAGGTAAGCGCACCCATGCCGCAACCTTGTGAATATTGGCTGATTCAGGATCAAAACAGGGCTCCCACTTTCTGATAGCTAAATAATGCCCCAAGATTACCCAGGGACCTCCCATGATAGCAAGATTAAGGTCCTCCAGGCTGTTGAATCTCACAGAATAGAATTTGTTACCCAGATCCGCTACAGTAATGCTACCTGCTTTCGCCCACAAGGCTTCCAACCTCTTCTTCATAAAACCAACCCCAACTTTCTTCCCCAACAACTTCACAATCAGCGCGTTCCTCCAGCGTTGCCTCATCCTAGCCCGCGCTTCTTTGTTACTCTTAATCTCCACAGACCCATCCTCTCTAAACACAGTCTGAAAACCCCACTCCGAGATCACACCCATGCTAGGATCCAAGGGTTCCAGATCTGGATCCTCATCAACGACAACCCAGGGCAAAGTCTCCCCCATCACTCCATTCTCCACCCCTGTGACATCTGCGAAGGAACGATGTTTTTCCATCACCGGAGAGCCAGACTGGTACTCCTTCACCTTCTCCCTCAAACGAGCTTCAGAAGGAAACTCCTCACCATTCTTAGAACGCTTCGTGCTTCTTCGCGACAAGGACAACAGATCAACCATTATCAGTAAACTCCTCTCCCATGGAGAAGAAGAAAGAACAAGCTTCAGAGATCTTCGAGGAAAAATTCGCTGATCAAACCCTAGCAGAACGAAAAGAACGCGCACGTGACACCACTCGCCTAACCCATAGGTTAATCTTTTCGCCCATTCTTTGTGGTGGATGGCATCGTTATTTTTTTTTATCACAGATTGGTCAGATATATCTTTCCATTAACGTCAGGCGTCGAAATTACTCCAAAGTTTATTATCTTTTGACAATTTCATAAAAGCTTGTCAATGGGGGGAGTTTTGGTACCTGCTTCTCTCGCGCTCATTTTTTTTATCTAGCTCTTATGGTCGTTTTCCTAATACACTGCAATCCTCTATTACCTTCCACATACGTGCAGCATATTTTTGGGGCTTTTCTTCATCTTCATCTGGCATGAGAATTATATTCAGAAGATCCACACCCTTAAGAACTCTTGAGAGGATAGTCTTCATACCTAATGTGGATCCAAGAGATCGGAGAGCTAGAGTTGAGAAACTAAGGTTTTAATTTTGATAATCTATGAAAATTTTAAATGTAATAAACAATTTATTTCAACAAAAAGGATAGAATATTGTTACTAGCAAATAATGTTACTATCTACGTCACTACTATATCTTATTTGAAGTGAACCATATCATCCTCTCAGTTAACATCACCGTTTCCAACAGTGTATTGAGAGTAACTAGAAATTGAACTCATCATCAACTTTTCAAGGAAGTTGTCATTGGCAAGAATAATTTTTATTAAAGAAACAAGACATGTTTCTATTCTGAATTTGAATCTCATAAAGGAAGTTTCTTCAAGACAATAATCATCAGAAAGGTAAACATGAACTAATCTCTCACCAACTAGTGGAAAAGGGTAGTGATGTTGGACATGTTATATGAGGTTTCAATACTTAGTGATGTTTGTAGTCAGACCGAATCCAAATGGAAATAGAGGATCATAATGTTTATCACCAACATTCATTGGGAGCTGATCAACTGTCTTGAACCACGTTCTTGCGAGCTTGCCGGTGAATTCAAAGTCGCCGTAGAGAAGGTCAACAACGCCTTGACCTTCAGTGCCGGGAAGCCATGCAGCTACAAGTGCATCTATTTTTGGTAGATATTGCTGAATCACAACTGGGCGACCAGTGATGAGAACAACAATACATTGAATTGACCCACATACATTGGTTATAGTGCTTGGACCTGGCTCAGCTATAGTTAGATTCAAACTGTCACCAAATGTTTCAGCATAACTGTGTTCTCCCACAACAACTATTGCATAGGAAAATTTGTTTGACTTAACAAAGTTTGCGTCAGGATTTTCATTGAAGACAACTTCTGAAGCGGGATCAACTGTTTGCTTTATAGCGTCGAGGATTGTTGTGCCTGTTAGCAAAATGGAATTCTATGAGATATTCTGAAATTATCCCACAAAAGGAAACTATCATCAAATATCTCGATATGAATGTTTTTCGTGTCAACCCTTGCAGGATTAAGAAGACTCAAAACTGAGATTTTGACTTGTAAATGACTAAATTAAATTATGAATTGATCAAAGGCTTGAAAGTAACCCATGCAGTTATTGGATTTTAGGTAGAGATGGAAGAAATGAGAGAGAATTTTAGACTAACAGAGATTGAATATACTAGTATTAGACATTTAGACTCTTAATTGTACATATTTTAACAGAAACATAGAACAATATGTACAATCTCACAGCCACAGTGGAAGAAGATTTTAGAATAGTAGCTTTTCAGAGTATTTTTTTTCAGACACCAACATTAAATGTGTTGACTTACCTGTTGTGAGATTATTGCCACTAAGCCCCTGCCAGGTAATTGTCCATCCTCCACATTGATAACCCAAATTGTCAGCATTACTTCCTGCCACCAGTATTTTCGCAGCTTTCTTGGGAAGGGGAAGCAGAGGCTTCTCAGCAGATTTACCATTCTTTAGCAACACTAGGGATTTCCGTACAGCTTCCCTTGCTAACTCTCTATGTTCCTGTTTAAGACATGATGCTTGATCAAGAAACAAACTCTTTCCATTTGAAAAGAAAGCAAAGAGTATCCAGCATATGTTCACATGACATCCCTAAGAAAATGTACCTTGCTACCCAGTTGGTTCACCAGGCTTAAATCAGCAATTGGAGTTTCAAATAGACCCATGGTAAATTTTACTCTTAAGATTCGTGCCACTGCATCATCAATCCTGCTCATCGGGATAATGTTGTTCTTTACTTGATAGGTTAGGTCATCAATGAACTCCGTGAAGTTATAGGGAACCATAATCTGTAAATAATGCAAATGTCAAAATAAAATGTAAATTCATAATATTATGTTCCCAGATTCAAGAAACATTTTATATCTCTTTCTTCTTTTTTTACTCCTTCAAAATGACAGCAATATTTACCATATCAATTCCAGCACTGACACCAGCTTGAACAGAGTATGAATAGTTAGCATGAGGAGGAGAGGTAATACGGTCAATACCCTGCCAATCTGATATGACAAAACCCTAAAAGACAGGAGAGAAAACACATCATAAGAAGCATCTTTTATTTTTATTTTATTTTTCCTTTTCTCTTTTCTGACTTATTCACTTCAATTTTTAGATTAGAGAACCAATTAGACAAATTTTATTACCCTGAACCGCAGTTTGTTCTTGAGGTAACCAGTGATAAGATCTCGATTAGCATGCATCTTCTTCCCATTCCAGCTAGAGTACGAGATCATTACTGTTGAAACCCCCTTGATGATAGAGTCATAGTATGCTGGCATGTGAATCTTAAGCAATCCTTTGTAACTGATCACTGTATTGTTCTCATTGATGCCCTTGGTTGTGCCACCATCTCCCAAGTAGTGCTTGGCACAAGCTGCAACCTTATTCCTGGAACAAAATAATTAAAATGAAGGGACATTTTTATCTCAGGTCTCAACAATTTATATATTAAAGTAGCATTGCTACGAGTGTTCCCAATTTGAGAATATGAAAAATAAAAAATAAAAAAACTGCGTGCACGCTTTGTGGCCAAGGCCTTCTATACAATCAAGTTCCAACTAAATAATTCAACAGAAAATCATATTTTTTTTGGTACATGGAAGTCATATCTTTACATCATGTAGATTGACATTTGGATGGTCTTAGCCATTGGGATGCAAAAGCTGGACCCAACCATCCAAATGGTTAGTGCAACCAAATGTCTAGGACCATCCAAAAGTAGCTTTGGGGTTCACCATCTTTTCTATTTCTTTTTCTTCTCCTTTATTTTTTACCCTTTTCACTGTATGCAAAAGCTGGTGAGCCCAACCTTTATGTTCTGTAATTAATTGAAGCTATAATTGATAGGGTAATACATGCCCACGGTAAGGTCTGCCCCATTAAATCAAAACATCATAATATTGTCCAGAATGATATCTATCATTTGAAACTGAAATTTCAAGCATTGATAATGTAATTTTGCTTATACAAGGAGTAAATGTAGTAAAACTTCTACCCAGACATACGCAAGACAAAAACAAAGGTAATTAAGAAAACCCATAAATATAATATAATGCTGTTCAAAGAATTTATAAATTTGTTTCATGTTCTGGACAAATTGAATTTTCTAATAATTAAACAAGTCCTTGATAAAAGAACACCAACCTTACAAGACTAATTACCACCATCCAACATAGATGCTTTTGGAAGTTTATATATAGAAAATTCAAGGATAACCCATTTATGCATTAAATCATATTCAGCCGATCTATACAATAAAACTATTTTCCGCAATATGAGTTACTAACAAAATCTTACTTTCCAGCAACATAGGGAACTCCTTTAAAGGAATTCCCAGGAATATCTCCCTGCAAACCAGGTATAATTTCAGTCATGGTTCGGACAATCTTAGGGTCTTCGCTGTAGCTTTCGTAGCAACGTCCCCATCTTGGATCTCTGCAGACCTGTGGATGATTAGTCAATCAACATATTAGTAGACTTAATCAATGTTATATGTGATCTGAAAACATAATACTTAAATGTAGCTTAATTACCGCAATACATGGAGCAAAGACATATGGAATTCCAGTAGCTCTAACTTCAAGGGCAGTTGCATCTCCAATCTTTTTTATGAGCACCGGATCCCTAATAAACAGTAGATTTCATTAAAATAAAAGGAAAATAAGAAGATGAAGAAGAACAAGAAGAAACATTCATTTTAAAGATCCCAAAACCACTGAAGAAATGCATTAAATTGTTGGGTTTGGGGTTTACTGAAAATGTTCACTGGTTCAAATATAGCTTCCAAAAGTATTATTACTTCATTAGGATTTGGAAAATTGCAAACCATTCCATTTACTAATTATCAAATATGAATGATTACTCTCTTTTTTTTTTGAATCATTTCATCACTACTCATTCCTGCATATACATATACTTGCCTAGTAACTCCAAGCCCAACATTGTGAGGAAACACGGTAGCATTGTAGACATTATTGTGGCCATGAACTGCATCTATCCCATAAATCATCGGAATACCAAGGGGAGTAGACAAAGCTGCATTTTGCATCTGATTCACCATTTGCACCCAGGTCTCAGCAGATGCCTTTGGAGCTGGAACACTCCCTCCCCCACTCAGCACACTCCCTGCTCATCAATAATAAGATGCATATCTATAATGTTACCTCGTTACAGCAAAAAATTAAAAAAAAAAATGCCCTTAACAGAAATCCATCACACACAGAAAAAGAGGACAAATAGATTTGAATAGAGATTTGATGAGTGCTAACCAATGAAGTACTTCTTAATCACATCAGAAGTAGCAACACTCCTTTCAATCTGTGTCATTTGGCCTATCTTTTCCTCTAGAGTCATTCTCTTCATCAAGTCTTTGACTCTAACATTCATTGGCATCTTTGGGTCTTTATACTTCATGTATTCTGCTTCTGAAAATGAAACCAGACAGCACAATAGCATAACACCCACAATGGGTATTAAAGACCTCCCCATTTTCAGCTTCAACACCCAAATCTATATGCAATCTGCAGAATGCAAAGAAGGTGAGAAAATTGAAAATAACCAAAACCCGTTTCAGCACCTGAAACAAATAGTAGTATTGAACTCAAGAAAGTAACAGAGACACACAAGAACTGAAATCTTTGCAAAATACCAAGAATATGTAACCGCATTAACATAACAATAATCCAGCGAGAGCAAAACAAACATGCACTTTAAAAACCCATTACAATGCAGGGTACAGTACAGCCATTAAAGAAGGTTAACAAGCACAGGGAGAAAAGAAACACTCACATGCAACAATGAGCTCAAAGTAGAGCAAGAGAAGGCACCAGGCACATAAAAATCCAAATATAATGGACTTGGTTTGAGGGAGTAGGCAATAGGTGAGGTCGTACATATAGAGAGAAAAAAAATATAGAGAGAAGAGAGAAAGAGAGAGAGAGAGAGAGAAGCAGCCACCGGTCCCACCCACCCTGCAGAATCAATAGCATTTGCGGTACCCAACTAATGTTTTTCTTATTATTATTTTCTTAAATTGTTTTCGTACATTTATGAGTTTGATAATTTTTATATAAAATTATTTTCTACATACATAAAAATATATTGACGAATAATATGAAATGAAAAAAAAAAAAATGAGCTACATATATTTTTATCATTTTTATTTGCTTACTATCTACACGAAAGAGACATTAAATCTCATATTTATTTAGTTAAATTTTCTTTACAGGTCAGTGATTGGCCATTAAAACACGCTTTGCATATTCGGTGCCGCACGAAGGGGGTTCAAGTTTTCAACAAATTTTCCTAACGTGTGAATGCATATCAACCCAATGACATAGAGAAGGCTAAACCGAATGCTATAATTGTTATTGTGATAACTCTATCATTATTACTATGTGTTATGAAATATAACCATATCCTAATTACCTATGACTCAATTATGCTAACAACATGAAACGATAAAGATAATAAGGATAGAATCCTCATCCCTACAAAAAAGGAGTTGAATCTTACTACACCTGGGAGATTTACATCGCCCAATAAGTAACTCTTATAAATACAAGGTTTAAAATCTTTAGGTACGCATTCTGAACTCATCTACTACTGTTGCTCACACTATGCACACACACACGTCTTGGCTCTAAGCATATTGCTTGTGCGCAGTGATTGGAATATTGACTATAGGCCAACCAAGATACCTATCTATAGGGTATCTTTGAGCGCATACTTTATGGTATTACTATACGGTTCTCTAGGACCGAACATTGGCGCCGTTTGTGGGAAACGATAAATTTCAATTTCATTCCACGATGACGAATACTCGTGCAACATCCAACAATACTCAACCCCAACCACCGCATCAGTCTGCCATAGAGCGTCTCCAAGAGCTCGCCGACCCGGCCTTGGTGGATGTGCAGGTTGGAGAGGTCAACACTGAGTCATTGCACATCACGACCTGAAGCAACCCTACGACGGAGTCAGTACGTCAGCCACAACCAAATGAACAATCCAGAGCTAAGAACCACAAAGCTAACACCGCCCTGAATGCTATCCTTCCAAGGATGCAAGAGATGGAGAACAGGTTCCTGGCTCAACAGCGGTTAGATGCTCAAAGAATGGAAGCACTGAAAGCCGAGCTACGAAACCAGAACACTGAAGGCCGAGCTGGAAGGGAAGGCCGACCTGAAATAGAAGGCCAAGCTGAAACTGAGGGGCGAGAACGCCAAAACCCGGCAACTGAACTTGGTCGAGGTACTCACAATGAAAACCAATATGAAGACAGAGGTCTGGGCAACGACCAAGGAGATAACTATCTCTATGATGAAGATGCCAATGACAGCCCGTTCACCAAAAGGCTTATGAACTTGGCAATTTTGCCGAGATTCAAAAGTGCCAAAATACCTCCTTATGGCGAAAGTCAGGATCCAGACGCCCATTTAGAGGCGTTCAAGACAGAGATACTCTTCAACGGGATAACTGGACCCATCAAGGCCAAAATCTTTACGACGACCTTAACAAGTCAAGCAATGGCGTTGATAACCAGGCTGCCCAGGAACTCAATTGATTCATTCGAGAACCTGGCTCGCATTTTTCGATTGAATTTCGCTACCAGTAAAGCACACTCTATGCCTACCTATACTTTAGAACGGATTCGGAAAAAGGGAGAATGAGTTGCTGCGAAAATACCTGGATCGCTTCAAAGAAGTCGCCCTCAAGGTATGAAATTTAACTGAGCCAGTCCATCTCCAATTAATTATCACAGGATTGGATGGTGAGTCCCTATTGGCTAGATCCATCTATAAGAACACGGTCAATGACTTGGAGGAATTCATAAGGAGGTCGGAAAAATACATCAATGTCAAAGACATGCATAGGGTCTATGGAGAATCTTGAGGCCGAAGCCCAAATAGCCAAAGTCCAAATAAGAAGAATAAGGACAGAGATCGACAGGGGTCCAAGAAGGCATCCAACTCTCTCCCAAGAGGTCAGACGAACGCTCTCTGAGAACTAAGTTTGACAGCTACGCTCCTCTCAATGTCTCCAGATCTCGAATCTGGAAAGAGGTTGCTCAAAACGAGTTGCATAACGTCGAGAAACCTCGGTCCATAAAGAACAGAGGCGGCTTAGACAGAACCAAATATTGCGCCTTTCACGACCAAAATGGTCATACAACAGATGACTGTTGGGACCTCCGAGATGCTATTGAAAAGCACATCAGAGAAAGAAAGCTCAAGAATTACCTCATCCAAACTCAGGGCAAGAAAAATGGCAAGCGAAGACAACGAAGTCAAAGCAGGAGCCCGAGCCCAAAAAGGGATGATAGAAAAGACCAAGGTTAAGATCACTCTAATAAGGGAAAAAAGGCTGAAGATAAGGATGAGGAGTACCAAGAAGCTGAGTACGAATGCAATGTGATAAATGGAGCCTTAAGAGAAAGAGGTGATACTACAAATGCTAGAAGGAGATACCTAAAGGAGGTCATATCGGTCAGAGACAGACCTGCCTTCAAGGGAAGATCTGGAAAGCCCAACCTCCCCAAATTATTCTTTACAGAAAAGGACCTACAAAAGGTCGTCCCTGGCCACACTGATGGCCTAATAATCACTAGGATGCTGGTCAATTTCTGGATTAAAAGATTTTTTATCGACCCCGGAAGCTCAGCCGACATACTATTCTAGAACGCTTTCCAGAAAATGAACTTGGATGAGCAAGATCTGAAACCATGTGTGACCGAGCTAATTGGTTTTAACAGAGAATCGTCTCCCCCAAAAGGTTACATTGACCTAAAGCTAACATTGGGAACGAAAAAGGCATTCCGAGCTGGTAGAGTCCGATTCATCGTAGTGGATGCGACCTATCCTATAATGTAATCATTGGCTGACCTACGATCTACGAATAAGACATGTTAGTCTCCACCAAACACCAAGCATTGAAAATGGCGGGATAAAAAAAATGAGGTGGTCACCATACGAGGAGACCAAAAGGAAGCCTGAGAATGTTACTACGAAACACTCAGAGTATCTCAGGGCGGCTCGTCATCCCCCCCAAGAATCAGAAAAAGAGATAAAGTCTCACCCAAAGACTAATCCGTATACCCATGCGGAAATCAAGTAAACCTGGTCGTACTGGACATGAGAGAGAAGCTTCAAGCACCTCGCCCAGAGCCTCAAGGAGAGTTAGAAGTCATCAGCATAGGAGGGGATGGCAAGCGTATTTGCATGGAAGGCATCCGAGATACCAGGTATAGATCCTACCTTTTGCTGCCATAAGCTCAGAAGAAGAGGAAAATGGGCACGTAACGAGCACGTGGACGAGCTACTAGAGGCTAGATTCATCAGAGAAATACAATATACCAAATGGCTTTCCAATGTCGTGATGGTAAAGAAGCCTAGTGGGAAATGGAGAATGTGTGTGGACTACACCGACCTCAACAAGGTCTACCCGAAGGACTCGTATCCAAGGCCAAACATAGACTAGCTAGTTGACAACTCCTCAGGGTTTCAATTACTGTCATCCATGGATGCATATTCCAGATATAATCAAATCCCACTTCATCTAGATGATCACGAGAAGACCGCCTTTATATCTGAGAAGGGGAACTTCTGTTATAATGTCATGCCTTTCGGCCTAAAAACTGTCGGGGCCACATACCAAAAGATGATGAACCGAGTCTTCCAGAATCAAATCGAAAGAAACTTGGAGGTATACATCGACGATATGATTTTCAAATCAATTCGTATTGATAGACATGTAACCGACCTGAAGGAAACCTTCGAGCAATTGAGAGATCGACGAATTAGATTAAACCCGGCCAAGTGCGTTTTTGGGGTGCCAGCTGGGAAATTTCTGGGCTTCATGCTCACTAACAGGGGAATTTAGGTCAACCCTAACAAGTGCAAAGCCGTCCTGGAGATGAAAGAACCCCAGAATAAAAGAGAGATTCAGGAACTGACAGGTCGTTTAGCCGCCCTAACAAGGTTTCTTCCAAAGTTGGCTGAAAGGTCTCTACCTTTCTTTAAACTCCTCAAAAGGAGGCACAATTTGGATGGGGAGAAGACTGCAAAATGGAATTTGAAGAAATAAAGAAGTTCCTGGCCACCCCACCAGTGTTGTCGAAACCAGAGCCAGGAGAGACGTTGATCTTATACCTCTCGGTAGGGGAAGAGGCCATCAATGCCGCCCTGGTAAGAGAGACGGATAAGGGACAACAACCAATATACTTCGAAGGGTGGATGCTGCAGGGACTTGAGCTCAGATACGAAAAGCTCGAAAAGGTGGCATTCGCTCTACTCACTACTACTAGAAGGCTCCGACCTTACTTTCAGGGCCATCTAGTGATTGTACAAACCAACCAGCCCATTAGACAGATATTGCATAAGCTGGATCTAGCTGATAGGATGATCAATTGGGTCGTTGAACTTTCACAGTTCGACATATCATACAAACCTCGACATTCAATCAAGTCTCAGGAATTAGCCGACTTCATACTGGAACTTACCCCTACCAAGAGGAAGAA